ACCTGAGATTAATTGTACAGTAAAGTATAGCTTTCAAGGGTCGAGTTTACAATGCTGCGGTGCGCTCCATATTACTGTATGGATAAGAAACCTGGCCGCTGCGCGCCGAGGACGTCAAAAGACTTTCAGTGTTTGACCATCGATGTCTTCGGAGCATTGCCCGAATCTGGTGGTAACACCGGATCAGTAATTCTGAAGTACGTTGAATGGTGTTCGGGAGAAATAACTCACCCTCGATAGATGAACTGATCACACTGCATAGGTTGCGCTGGCTTGGCCACGTGTTACGCATGCCAGTGACCGACTTCCTCGAAGGGCTCTTTTCGCCCAACCACGTGAAGGTTGGAAGACAGCCGGAGGCGGTCAAACAATGACTTGGAGACGAAGTGTGAAAGCCATTGCCAGCAAACTCAGCTGCGCTGGTCACTGCCGTCTTCCTGGGTGGGGACCCCGAGACGGGCCACATCAATGGCTAGAGACATTATCAGACATGGCCAAGTCGCGCCCTCAATGGCGCTCATGCATCCAAGCTATTGCCTTCAATGCATAGCTCATTTTCCAACCCACTTCACTTGACAGCCCACTGACAGTGCTGGATTTATGCACCAATTTACCAGCTCGCGCGTGCAATGCGCAGCTACCTACCCCTCCCACCCAAATCATCGGTGAACGAAACTGCGGCAGCTACAACCACTGAACGACAAGTACGCGGTTATTGCAGATGACAATGATGATGATGATACGGTAGTCCTTTACGAGAGAATCCAATCTAAAAAAGCTCTCTATGAATGATGATGATGATACGGTAGTCCTTTACGAGAGAATCCAATCTAAAAAATGCTCTCTATGAATAAGAGTGTCCTGGTGGCTCCCGCTTGCTTGCCTTAGGAAATGGGCAGTCATACTACGTAGGAAAACCCCACTTTAGAGGCACTTTGAAGGTCACGGTTTTCGAGCGTTACTGCTTGCAGTACCGTACCAGCAATAACTGGAATTAATCGATGGAAAAACACTAAATCGATAGGTTACCCTTGCGATAGGAACGAAACTGCTGATTTCTTCTCGAGAGTTTCATCTTTGGTAGTGATTTCATTTCGCTTCGTGACAGATTAATATCCAACGAGTGATGGTGTGTGGGTGAACGAATCCAACGTGGTATGAACTTAGGATTCCCTGCTGTCTGCTTCTCAAATTCATTGCCAAGGGAAGGGTGTTTCGCACAATAAACTATCTTACTTGTAATGTATATCAGCGACTTATCTAACATGCAAAGTGGTAAAGAATATTTCATCACGCAATATCTTTCCTAACCATGACGATGAACTCGTTTGACAGTACAAACTCTACAGTTTTTAGTAAGTGAAATTTCCAGAGCCGTGTTCTATTCCGCCTTGATTTTAGCCGAACCTGGAAGTCAGGATTAGCCTAGACATTCCCAGTGATGTTCCTTATAATGTCTTTCAAAACTAAATTCCAAAGCAGCGATACGCTGGCTGGCGAACAAAAAATATTCGCCTTACAGCAGCGATTTATCCTTTCGGAGGAGAGTAGAACGGAGCACGATCAAAATGGAAGTCCACTTGGATGTTGTCGAATTCAATGTGAGGTTCAGGTTCGTCCCTGTCTTTGGTTGTGGGCCCGTTACTCCTCTAAGTTTATCGGATTTTGACTAGCTTGAAACCGACAAATGCACTGGTTGTCTCCCCAGGAATTGCCCCGCGGCCCTTGAAACAGGTGTGGGTTTTTCTTTATCCCTATTAACTGGCGAAGTTCAAGGTTGGTTAAACTCACTTTGTAACAATCAAAAATGTATATTCTGGAAGGAGCGATCCTTCACGAAGTTGAAAGAAATGTTGTTGTGGGTAATCTTTTCAAAAACCACCTTGGGCTGCTCACAAAAAGGGTATTTCTATTACCCGTGAATCGCCTTTTGGAATCATTTTGCGTNATCTTTTCAAAAACCACCTTGGGCTGCTCACAAAAAGGGTATTTCTATTACCCGTGAATCGCCTTTTGGAATTTTGTCATTTTGCGTTTTAGTATAGATGCTCTCTTCCGATAAGATTAGCAAACCTGTTTTCCATGTCCCCACTCTCCTATTCACTTGGATTACCAGGCTAAGTTTGCGGTGGCTGACTGGTATAAAATAGCGTATTATCAACAAACCATACTCATGAACAGTAGGAAACGGTAAGCTACCGTGTTTTTTAACTACTGGTGTTATACACCCATATTCGGGGTAAGCTCCCACCTCAGTAATACGGTCAAAATAACTTTTTCACCGAGTACATCGAACACTGAAACCTTGAGCGTTTCAAGAAACCTTGACACGCGCGTTACTCTGAATCTAGCTTGAATCGTTCAATTTCATTGTCTGTGAGCTCAACCTACATGGCTAACCCTCCCCTACTTTAGAAACGCAATACTTGGTAATTTTACACTACGATTTCGAATATCTCCAACTAGCGGATGGCTTCACTTGTAACGGCAAGCTCTTCGGGCCCCAAATGGACAGTGCGTATTTGTTTTGGTGCAGATTTGTCATGTGAGCGAAACCTGTCGCGGCTGAAAAGCCGAAAAGCAGGGTAGGCGAAGTGCTTCTGGGGTTTTCCGCATCGATTGGCTTTACTTGCAGGGCGATATCCAAACCAACAAAAAGTCTCAAATCTCACACCATCAATAATCAGAGAAAATAGTATCTGTACCCAGTTCTTGCGAAAAGGTTATCTTCCTAAAAAAGATACCGAGCACTGACCTCATCCAGAAATATTTGTAAAACATCAGATAACATTGAGAATATGCAAGACTATATTTGACGTGATACATAATCTGACTCCTGACGGATTTAAAATGGCCATTGCACTCCGTGATCCTTTTAAGGCTTAACGTCATATAGATTCAGTGACTCACAATACTTGCGAGCGCTCCAAATGAACCGTGTATTTGCAACATTGCCCGCTCACGCGTNCCGCTCACGCGTTTGATTTATTTTAAGGGGGCAACTTCCGATCTAAAAAAACAATCGACCAGACTAGCTCATTTGATCGACACTTAATTAACATTTTGTTGTCCCGATCTACTCACTGTGCTCTGTACACCGTATCAGGCTTTATCACTAATTCTGGTTTTACGTTAGTATACTTTCTAAACCTCACTGGAAAGCATTATTGCAGTATTCAAAAATAACTCAAACGTCGCGGATTCCGTATCAACCGGGTGATTTTTGAGGGTTATCATGTCTCCGTTTACGATATCATCCCTATGGTTGGATATCTTACCAGAGAATCTATCTACTGCAGACTGAAAAAGGTCGTCTTGTTGACTGTCAAGGAAGTGCAATTGTACCGGAAGTCACGCTGGTTTAAGTACACACTGGAAACGAATTCACCCAGGATTGGGTCATTCCATCAAATGATCCAGCCAAAACACGCACTTTTACTCGGAGCAAAATCCGTGCAAAACAATCATTCCAGACAAAAACAAAAATACAAAATAACCCAATTTGGGTTTGGAAAAAAACTGAAAAGTTAAATTCACTCCAGTTTAACTTATTCGGCATCTCTCCGATGGGCACCGCTCCCCAAGGCTGCTCTATTTTTTCCCTTGAATTCTATTGGGAAATGGATGAAAAAACTTGGCAGTCTGCACCTCATATCAAGCATATTGGATCAGACTAGAAGCTCTACTGAGAATTACAACATCCCTAAACTCGCTCTTTACATTCATCTAAATATTGCGGCTGTCACGAACATACATAAACAAACATATACGTGCAAACGATCGATCTGAATAGCCACCAGATGAACGAAATATGGTGCAATTGTTTTGTGTTGCGCAACGCTTCTTGCAAGGGACCATGCTGTTCAAACTATACTTATTTCCTGAAACGTCTAAATATCTTTGCAACCCAGCAGCGCGTCCTTGCCCGACTGCAATCCTGAGTTGACCCAGGCTTGTTCAACGACCCTAACCTCTTCTCCTTAAACATTTTTCAAGTGTAAGCAAGTCTCTTCCTACCCTATTTCATCAATGGGTGTGTACAGGGACTCATGTGAGAATATTTACTCCATTAGCAGAAAAAAAAACATTTTGGTTGGACTATCTGTGGCGCCATTTGGGTGGAAAATCCTGATCGACAGAACGGCTGCTGGGTGATTGTGAGAGCCGTTGCACAAGTTAGTCGGACGTGATACATTCAACCTTCGCTATTGAAGTCGTGCCCGTATCATATGTCAGATATTCGAGATTCATATCAAAGGATATACACCGCTGATGAACCTCAGTTAGACCGAAAATCGAGTTTACTGATCGGTTTGAAGAGTGAAACAACTAGGATTACTAAGTTGAGAGGGTAGCGATGTGAGTACAAATTCCTTGAACTCACCGACCACCTAATAAGAAGCTGCTGGCTGAAGGTATCTCCAAACCGTATCTGAAAATGATACAAGGAATCAGTCGGAAATACCTGTGAACAGGATTGAAGTACAGTTATGCATCGGGCACGGATCGATTATGACACATTTTGTGGAGTTATAGAGGACAGGGTGATGTTGAAAAACTTTTTGGTCGCCCCTGTATATAAACAATGTAATGACCTTGGAACGTCTTGAGCATACAACAGTAACTCAAAAGGAACTCGAAAGGAAATTATTTAGAGCAGCCTGAACGGAAAAGTCTACGCTACTAATCCCCAGAAGAGTTGACTATCCTTTGGGTACGCACTGTTGCAATATTTAAAGCATCGACAGGTATCTCGTTTCTATCGTTTCCAAGCAGAAGAACTGCGAGGTATTCACATAGACTCCATTAGTGTGGGAGTGTGGGACTGTATGGGATTTGGGAAGTGAGATTCTTTGCCAGTTAACTCAGTGACTTAGTTGAGTAGACTCGCGCGGACGAGAGCTCATGAGCACTTTAATGGCGGGATGGTATTTAGCAGGTCGAAGGGATGAGTTCGAACCATCGACTTAATCATGGAATGTAATCCTTGATTCAGTATGTACCCTAAAAATGGGAGCAAATACGGGAACAGCTACACCCAGAACGATGGCTAGCCTAGAGAAGTCTAGTCGACGTGCAGCTAGACACGTGCAAGCAATTGAAGATGTAACGGTGTGATGCATTCAACTTCATATCAGTCTCACTTTAACAGTCCTCGTTCTTTCCTTATCCAAATATTACAATGAGGGAAGTGGCGGACTCAAGTTTCCCTCCCATTGGAGCTGATCCTTGGCCGTGTTTGGCCATCTGGCACTCATGACGAGCGCGTTACCGCTAGGGTACGCTTGCTGCGCTTGATTTACTGCGTCTGAACAGTTGAGTGTCTTGACGTATGAGCAATTTGATTAGCTGGCCGGACGTTAGCCGATGCCAAAATTATTACTCTAGATACGGACGCAATAAATGGGCAGGATTAAACACTGCTAACAACTTCCCGAATTCAGACCAAACAAGGTCACTGTTCATCAACTAGAGTGAAACACCTTTAGATTATCTTCTTGTTTGGTTCTAGCTTAAATAGGTAAGATGTAGTACCCTTCATTGGTTACACCCTAACATCATTTGTCTTATGAATAGAACGGCTATCTTTCTCGCAAATGAATCCATTGGTACAAACAAAAATTTATGAAATCTGGCTAGCTGGTTCACCTTTGCTCACAAAACACTAAAGTGACGGAAGGCTGAATGCATTACGAAGCAGTCGCCGGATCCGCTCCATCAAATCAAACGATTGTCATTTTAACAGCTCTCACTCCCGGTCTGCCGTCGAGAAACCTGAACTCTTAGATGGTTCTGTGGTAACTAAACTACCCAAATAGTGTCCGCCGATAGAATTTACGACTTATAATATTGGAGTAAATTCATCGAAATCCTTTCAGGATTTTCATCAGCTTTTCCCCACATTCGAAGATTAAATGAGATATATATGGAGTGAACATCAATTCACAGACTAGAGTGACGCTTGAGCAGTTTGCTAGGTGTTGGATATCGTGATTATCAGCTAAAATGAACTTTGAAGCATGTGCTACATATTACAAAGGAAAGCTGCGTTAGAGTTTATGTTCAACACAATACTGCTTCGTGAGTCTGTACGTGCTTCCCATCAACACGATGGCTACTATTCAACATGCGTGATCACTCCTGCTATTGGCAAGACTATTTGAATAACTCGTGTGACTCGCGGAGATCCTGTAAGTTCAGTCCCCAACAGTGTAAAAAACTGACTGCAGTGTACGTATTCCACCACAGAGTTTGCAGAAAATCGGACTTGACTTGCCAGATTAACATCTGGTTCATCGGCTACACAAGGAAAGTGAAATTAGCAGGCAATAAGCTGGGACAAAGAATTGTCATCCAAGCACATTCTGAACCAATGTCACTGAAATACCCTGAGGATTTATACTCGTCTATCAACAGTTTTCCAACCTTTATACTTCTACAAGTTAACAGAACCTTATCCGCACTGTCTGATGTCATACAAAGTAAACAGGAATAGTATACCATGGTTTCATCGGCACTAAATACATCCCCCTGGTTATATTTGTCACATTTCACTCGGACTTCACCAACTGCTTTTGCTTTCCACCAGTATGAACACAAACTTCAATATTAACATTATTATCAAACGTGATTATCTTGTGTTTTCCCGGATCATGCTTTAGTCTCCAACATCGAAACAGATCTTATGATACCTATAAGGTTGTGGTTCTTACTTTTCTGACAAAATACATGGTATTCTTGAAAACAATATTTTATGACAGAAAACTGACGATGAGACTTCCTAATATCTCTAGATGTGCAACAACAACTGAGATGGTCTCTTGTAAAACAATCCAGAAATCGAGATGCTAAAAATGAAGGAAGCAGGGACAAGCTTAGTTGTAGCTTTGCGGTATATTTCGAGAAAAAGAGCATTATATGCTTGCATTCCTGATGAATAACATTTCGAGATTGTAAATCCACTTTCCTTTTTTTCGTCACCGATAAGTCGGATAAGGAACTTGGTTGACTCTTGTCAATCATCTGATGAATGGATAATCTTACCACTTCATCTTAGTATATACCTCGTCCAACACACGGAAAACCGCTTTAGTCGTTTCTGTAGTTGTACCTAACTAACCACTGATGGCCGTCGTATCAAGCTGGATAACTGGAGTTAGGCTACTCGTCTTCCACAGTTTAAATCAGTTTCGCGACGTTTGTCTCGATGAAGCACTGGACTAGCTCATCCCTGTGTTTAAGTATATCTCTAGTGAGTGACTACTACATCGTGCATACTACTGACCACATTAGCTGAAGGATGTAGGTCATTGTGACGCAAACGATCAAAAGTTGCTCTTCTTTGTTTTACTCGTGTGTGTGATATACGACAGATTCGAGTGCCCGTTTGAGATTTTGTCCTGTAAGTGAAGCTCACCTGCGCTAAAAAGCCGGGAAGAATTTTACAGCGTTGTCATCATGAGCAGTGCGCGCTTCACGAAGCTCCGGTGCGTTTTAAGCCCACGATCTCCCGAAAGGCAGCCAGGCGTAAAACCGTTCGGTTGGGGGCAGTGTACCAGCGGTATGATTAGCCCTCACTTATGGGGGATGTAGGGCCACTTGTCCGTCAACCACAGAGACTACATAATGTTTTCACCTATTGACTAGCTTCTCAAATAACGATGGGAAATTTTGTCACATTTTAAAGTCATTCTTCTTCTCAGGTACAACTAGATTAATTATAACAGACCTGTATACATAGCCTTGGATCGGACGGCGTGGCTTTTTTATACTGCTCTCTCCATACATTCTATGTCCTCTAAATCTCCTTGTATCATGCCTCATCTATTGAAAATCTTCATCAATCTTGGAAATTTCCGCGTTGAATTCCAAAAGCTTCCCAGATATATAATGATACTCGATTAAAAATCCGTCAAAAACATCAGTTGACCTTCAATAATTGGAAATTCTGATAAACGTCCTATTACATTGAACTATTTGGATAACTGCGAATTAGTTTCACTTGAGGCCACTAGATTGAGTTGGACCTGAAAGATATCCACCTTGAGATTTTAGAGAAGCATGTTATGTAGCAAGGACTTTGGTGCATTTGGAAGAAATCACGATAAATCGGCTGTAACACGGACTGAAATTTCACAACTGAAGAAATGACCAAATTTAGATCTCCGTCAACGATCAACCAATCAAATTTGCTTGGATTGTGACGAATGGGTGAATTCTTCCCGGTAAACATAAAGTAATTTATTTGTGACAGAGTGGAACCCGCTTATCAAAGGAAATGTACAACTTCTGCTTCCTTATCCTGGTTTATGCCAGTTGGGCAGTTCGCTCAGATGTAGACTGCGGATCTGGACCGTTGCAAAAGGTCAGCGATTCGTGTATGTTTAAACTGAATGGTCTTATGGGATTTTGTGCGGCAAACAAACAATGCGCAGATCGAGGTGGAAGTTTTGGACAGCATTGGTTTCTGGTGGGGAAAAATGCGCACAAAATTCCAAGCTCGTTCTCTGAAGGGCAGTCAATATGGACTAGTCGGACAAGGCTTTTTGAGCGTAATCCTAGTGGCCACGTATGGCGTGTTGGTGACCCACACTGGTCTCACTACTCAGAGACAACTGCCAATGCATCAGCACCCTCCAATCCTTCGGTGGAGGGCTCAGCAGCGCGGATAACTTATGTGCAACACAACGGCACAACCAACATGTTCTACTTCACGCGGAATAACAAAGAACTTCGTGGTGCAGTTTGCGAGCGAGCGTTGGTACCAACACCCTACCATCCATCATCTAACATGCCGCTGACAACAGAAGTGTTCCGCGTAACCTGGCCCAGGCCATCTCAGAGTATGGTCTTAGATGACAGAGAATCAGTAGGCTGTTATGCGAATCACATGGCCCAGAGTATCATAGATTGTGCTCTTACGTAAGTCACGCAATTTGACTGAACATAGAGACTTATTTCTGTCGTTTGTCGTTTCGAATAAAATGGGAAAAGTACGCATTAGAGGAGCTCTTCCTTGGAGAATCTGCTCTCTGAATTAGGTGTATTTTTCATCAGCGATGATTTGGTATAAAGTCCTCCTCCTGGACACCTCTAAGAAGTTAGAAGTCAATTTCTCACGGTACATTTGCCATACTGGGTTTACCACGCTAACATGCAGGTGCATTTCTGCTCAGGGTGAATTAGAGTTGAGCGAGATGTGACTCTATTCTGAAGCATCTACATTAGGGGAAACTTAACGTCAGTTGTTGATTCCACGGTTCTGGCGTTTTCTAACTGATCACAACTTCTTTTCTGATTCTGAAATACTTTTCAGGTTTAGGACCTATTATTTCTCTCAGCATATGCCTTCGGAGAAAAGCTCACTACATATACAGGATCAAATTTGTTGGCCATTTTATGTCGACAGAAACCTCGTGTTGTTTGTTTTTGAGTAATTGCAGAATTTCCACTAAAGAAACTGTTCACGCTACAGTCCTCCACCAGTCCTAGAACAATTATTCCCGTCAGTTCACATCGAGACTGAATCTGATTCCCGTCGCCAACAGTGGATAACCCTGTCCGCGTCAGAACTCTGGCCACAGACACCTGATATGTTGTTCTCGCATTTACCAACACCCACCGTCATATCCGCACAGGCGAAAGGTCTGTGCTCAAATGGTCTACTCAATGACGTAAATGACAATGGACTCGGGCAGATAGCTCCATTGCCACTTTTTTGCTGCTACGACGCCAGAAAACCTCAACATGATGATGTGACTTCGGTTAAGTTTCTGTGTATATAAACCAAAATTCTGAAACAACACTTGACTCCATCACTAAAAGAAATCGCTGGCACAGGTGTCTCAGGTGAATATATGATGTGTTGAGCATTTCCGTTCGGAGGTTTTTGGTTTCTTATGTATCCTTCGTAGTCACTCGTTTGCCTGAAACTTCGTAGCCGTCGACATACGGAAGACTTTGATATTTTGAAACGTACACGAAGTTTTATCACTGTCCTACCTCCCACTCATATTGTAGGGAGCCCAACTTACCGTTTCATTTTATTGCTGGACAGAATACTTCACAAATAGTCGTACATAAAAGCGCGTTAGTCGGTTCAGTAAAATTAACTCGGAAACCAGTTCGCGTTAGGGAACTAGATTGTGCTGATTGTTCACGCACGCCATTAAGACTAAGCAACTAGGGAACAGTGAACTCCACTGGACTGCTTACTTTTCCCTTTCAGTAGCGTGCAAAGTTTTTTAGTTTTCAGGTACCAGAAATTAAGCGTGCAAAAAGTGAGGAGTGCTTGAAATGTTGTAAATGAAAGGATTTCTTGCTACCTTTGCTAAAATTTGCCGTTTCGTTTGCTGTCAGTGGAAGAGAGGTGATGATCTATTCCATAAAAGTGAAAAAAATGATTGAATTGGTCAAGACGTGTTGCTTTTATGCACCTCCGGTTCCAGGGAGGTCTACTAAAATAATTTTTACTTGAGGCTGATGAATCGGAATGCATTCCGTGTAATGGACGGTCCCATATTGAGGCGACTTCATCACGGTGGCTCCATGAGTTGGCTGAAAATGACACCGTTGATTGACCTATATGGATTTAATTTTTGAATACGGTAGCTGACGTCAGCAATTTTATTGAGAATTTGATGGTCTCCATAATGTCGTCAGTTCGGACTGCATTCAGAGACTCGTTTGCATTCCAACCATACATTGTATTCCGATGTGAAACAGTTTATTCCCTAAACAGCTTCCTCTCCACTTTGTACTGAGCAGTTAGGAACCTTCACGCTTATTGAATCATGGAAATAAAAAGCCAGATTTCTTCAGGATAGTCCGGGGTAAAAGACTCGAGTTTACTCCAGCTTGACGTTATATCCATCATTCTGATGGATAACTTACGCAGTCATGACGAATATTTTACTTAGAGGAAATTTAGTTAGTGGAATAACTTGGAGACTGCCCGTATCTCCGACAAATTCAACGGATTTCACGTGTGATTTAGAAAGTAAACGATTTGTGACAGAGAGGAAAATGGTGAAAAACGAGCCAACCATTTGCTTCACATTTTGGCAGTAATCTCCGGGACCGTGCAGGAGATTTTCAAACATATCCTTAGTTATTTGTGATATATTACTCATAAGGTTGTTGAAAATCCGTCGACAGCCCACGACCGGTTTAGAAAAAAACAAATTAGTTTGCAAATTAGTATATATTCGCTAATTTCGTGCAATTTGGTTTCAAGTAGAACATAAACGTGAGGTAGACGGAAACCGGGGACTGCGCCTAACTAATGCGCCTCAAAAAGGGCGAAACCGGTCGTGGGTTGTTGATGGATTTTCAGCAACCTAATGAGTAGTACTTTACAAATATACACGTGTATCGCGATATCTCGAATATCGTAGCAACTGAAACATGAGGCCGCCTGGTGCAGCACATTCAGTTACCTGGAAACATCGCAAACTAGAGGTTCACCTGGGTTCCAGGTGAGTCTCTCGAAAAACCAAATTAGTTTACAAATGAATGTATATTCGCTAACACCTTAGTTACACACAGTGAACACGAATGTGTCAGTGAACCTTGCTTCCAGTGAGATATCTGATAGATTTATGTGGAAGGAACCGCATTTGTAGCATAAATCTGTATATAAACGGTCACTGTATCATTCGACCTGGAGTATGTACATATATATTTGCCATTTTGGTCCAATGGACATTTGAGCTGCAAGGAAAAACGATGTTGGCAGTATTCCTCAACATGTCTTCTTTGTCCTGTTCCAGATGTCGGCTTTCCAGTTTATGTCGTACGGCCTACTATGATCAGAGCAAAAGATGCGTACTCTCCCTGTATGTGGACTCGCTGTTGCCTCGGTTAATATTTAGTCCTGAAGGCAAATGGACACGCCTTGCTCGACCAAACTGGTGAGTGTGGTGGCACACCTCACTTCTTACTAACCTGCGTTACCGATGATTTTGAACCAACTCATTTTCCTAACGGTGTAACTTTCTCCACACAAGCTTTCCAATTAATCGATCACACTGTCCTCGTTGCATTCAACCAATATTGTTATCCGCGCTCCCCTTTCCTGCTCCATCATTTGCTTTATAATCTGTTGCACTCATTCCTTTGCTTGCTGATTACGACTTACCCACGGTTGGCAATCCAATTACATATGCACCCAACAGTCTGATCAATGAGGACCATGACTGGCTTCAAGAATTTTTCCAAAATACAGCCTTTGCTTGATTGCTTTTGTGACCTTGTCCAACCTTTCATTGCTGCTGAACGTAAGCAAACATTTTGATCTGCCGAAACCTTTTGTTCCGTCTAACTGCAATGATTTTCCCGGAAATTCCCTTGAATAAAATAGCTTTAGAAGGAACTCCACAGGCTGAGAAATCATTCGTACCGTGTCCTTCGTGGAAAATCAAGTTATGCAACTAAAGCTTAATTGTGTTTTAGTGAGACGTAATCTTTATGGTCTCAGTAAACTCGCTTTTCAGCCAACCCCCAGAGCGTGCGATGGGATTTTCTAAGAAATATGTGCATCAAAATAAGTAGTCATGTTGGGGCATAATTTAATAGGTTACACAAAATCTAATAGAAGTAGCAGTAAGTTTCATTCAATGCCAACCACGTAGTTGAGGTTTCGGAGGAAATTGAGCTTAACATCACCAGGATCCAAAAGGTAATTTATCAGAAGAACAAAGCCCTGTTGAGCTTTTAAGGCTGTCTACTGAAAGACAGTGACACCTAGCCAGAGAAAATACGGTCTTCAGTAGAACGCTATTGAGGCTTGCGTCTGGTTCATCTCACTTGTGTGCGGTAGCATTCCGTACCAGTCTTCGCCTGATATTTAGATTAAGGAATTGGCACACAGGTGCAGTGGTCTGTACAAAATGAGAAAATTTTTTCAGTTCATTCGATGCATTCGTATGGAAAGTCGGCTACTTGAGGGCAATCAGGTACTAATTCCACAACTCACCTGACTACCGAGAAGGATCCGGTGAACAACAGTACAATGAACAGCCAGCTACATTAGTCTCAGTAACCGATTCCATTTCGTCTCCCAGATTAGATAACTGTTGCCACTAAGTAACAGTGGCTTCTTTTCACAAAGGAAACTACTCACATTGTTGCTGAAAACTCTTCGACAGCCCACGACTGGTTTTGCCTTTCCTAGGGATTATTAGGTAGGCGCAGTCCCCAAGGTTCCGTCAAACTCATGTTCTACTTGAACCCAAATCGGACTGTTTTCGAGAAATACACCTATTTGCAAATCATTTTGGTTTTCACGAGAGACTCAACCGAATATCATGAAAGTCAAAGCCAAAATGACTTGCAAACGACTGTATTTCTCGGAAAGATTGAACATTTTATACAAGAAAGCATTCGCAACTGAGTGGAACGAACAAACAGTCACTGGCCAAACAAAGTTACGTGATTAAAACTGTGCTTCTCAGCCACAATGATGACGCATGGATGACGATGAATAAGGTTCACTCAGTAGACAGTCTTCAGTAGTTCAGGTCTAAAAGAGCGCAGGAAGACAATATTCTGGATGTATTTGGTGACATGCCTGTGAAGGAGCCTAGCATCCGAGAGTGCTGGATTTCGACTTGTCTTCTGAACTTTTTGGGTTATCTGTGCCACTTCTACGATGATGTCCGTTGATGGACGTCCTGCCACATTATCTTGTAGTCACCGAGCAGTTTTGCCTGGGTTGCTGCCTAAGAATTTGCAGGAGAATTAATGGATCATGCGGAGGAAGTAAAGCCCAATGAAACAGCTCGTGGACAATAAACGGATAAACTATTTTGGATAATACCACAATATCCTTGCACAAGCCATCGAGAAACTTTGTTGTAGCCCGTAAAATTAAAGGTTCAGAATATATCTAGGGAATGACTCTAATTTGGGGAGCAACCACAACAG